AAAGCTGGAAATCGAAGCGAAAATTTTGAAACCCTTATGTATATTTACATCATTATATATTTCTTACCCCACCCCCACATGATCCTATATCCATCACCAATCGTATACACATCGAATTGTGCTAATTTACTACAAAGTTACGCAAAGCAGCATCTACTATCTAAAATATGTAGTGCGTGACTCTTAATACGTCCCTGCCGAATGTTACAGCGTTCGATGATCACGTGGTCTTGTTTATGTCCGGTCTATCTCTTATCTGAATATACTGTAGATGGAGCAGCAACATTCAGGTAACGAACGAACCACAGAACAATTCAAAATTTTAAAACAAAACAGTGTAAGATCAACACAATGACGATTTATAAAACCTAACATCTTATATGCACAGGTGATTATTTTTTCAATATGCAAGTTAAATGATAATTTTGAGTCGAAAATAACTCCCAAGTCCTTGATTTGGTGTATACTTTGTAAAGATCTACCGTTGATGCTCTAAGAGTAAGTAATATTGGAACAAGACCGACTAAATGTAAATTTGAAACATTATTTAAAAGTAAAATATTCACACAAAACCAATAGGAAATTTCATCGCCTTTCTCACGAAGCGTCCTAACTGACAAAATATCAACAATTGAGATAACCCACATACAGGTGTATTATTCCTTGCCGCTTAGTCTGACGAAGAGGAATAACTATATACGTATCTATTAGTGTAGGCAACACACCATTAACCCCTGGGTGTCTTATCTGCAAAGGTAAATATATATACTAAGTGACATATAAATCCGAACACCCAGTTTAAATGGTTTTATTTTAATAAAACTTTGTATAAGTACTTAATGAAGCATAATAAGTAAATGATAAAAATTTCAAAATGATTGCACTGCTTTAAAGCCCTTTGACCTTTAATAATGTGTGGATGCACCCTGATGTGCTACGCATTCTCCAACGCGCCTAGGCATGCTTCTGATCAGGTGGTCAATGTCCTCCTGTGGTATCTCATTCCAGGCAACCACCAACTCCTCTCGAAATGCTTCTAGAGGCTGAGGAGGACGTTGCAGATTGAGCAATCTCCTACCCATCATATCCCAAAGGTGCTCAATTGGGGATAAGTCGGGAGATCTTGGTGGCCATGGTAACAATGTGACATCATTATGTTGAAAGAAGTCTATTGTGACTCTTGCAACATGTGGTCGGGCATTATCTTGTTGGAAAGTTGGATCTGCCAGGGTGTCAAGATAGGGTAAAAAATGGGGTTCTAGAACTTCGTGGATATAACGCTGCGCGTTCATGTTACCTCTGATGAAGATTAAAGGTGAGCTGGAACCATAAGCTATAGCACCCCAAACCATAACTCCAACAGTGTGATGAACATGTCTTTCAACAAAAAACTGTGGATTCCTCCTTTCACCACGTCGCCTTCTAACCCTGGCACGACCATCGTACATGCCTAAACAAAATCGAGACTCGTCACTAAAGACGATACTGTTCCATTCCTGATCCCAGAGTGACCGCTGTCTGCACCACTCAAGGCGATTACGTCGGTGTTCTCGAGTTAAAGGGAGGACCCAGTGTGGCCGGTATGAAAACAAGCCAAAACTTCTCATTCGTCGGTAAACACTTCGCATGCCAATAGGTCTTCCGTGTTCTGCAAACCATTCATTTGCAATGGACCTGGTAGTGGAGAAACGGTCGCTTAAGGCCAATAATCTTAGGCGGCGATCTTCACGGTCTGTTGTTCTACGGCGGCGTCCAGTGCCCCTTGCTCTTTGCGTACGGCCTTCTCGAAGCCATGCCTGACAACACCTAACCACAGTATCTACACTTCTTTGCACTCTAACTGCAATTGCCCGAACCGAAAGTCCAGCTTCCCGAAGTCCCACTATACGGCCCCTATCAAACTCACTAAGTTGACGAAATCGTACAGGTCTCCGTACTCTAGGCATCGTAACCGATTGTAAAGGATGTCAAGAACCAAAATCCGCCAACGTTGATTCTTTACTGCGGCTGAAATATTCATTTTTAGAGCGTTAGTGAATTAAAAAAAAGCAGTATAAAATTCGGAATGTCCAACTGATAAGGCTGAAAATTTTTTCACTTGTTATTCACAGTTGTCGATTGTCCAGAAAACGTCAACCTAATTTAGGAATCCCAATGAATTTTTCGACTTCAAGAAACTTTCAAAGATTTAAGAATGTTGTCCACACGGCAAACTGAGAAAGGGAAAAATATTAAATGGAGTTTTATGGTAGGAAAAGACATGCCCACAATATTCTTTAAGTCTAGCCACCACGATACTAGTTATGACAGTAATGATTTACAAAGACTGATGAGAAATAGTTATAATATAAATGATATTAAACTAGAACAACGTAAAACTAACAAAAAAAACAAAACAAAAAAGAAGTACTCCGACTTAATTTCGTTAAGTGAAAATATAACACCCGTTGTACGTTTACCAGATTTCCAAAACTTTTTTAGAAATTTCCCTCATGATCATAATACATCAATAATAGCTGGTAATATGTCAAAAGATAATTAAGTTAGTTGCTTTTATTTTAGTTTTTATTTCAATAAAAATTGCTTTGACGTTTCGAGTTGTTTTCTTCATCTCATCGCCAAATATTTGTGTAGTAATCAATTTTAGGCATGGACATTGAAGGACATTTTTTAGGGGAAAGCCAAAATTCAAAAGTCGATCTGAACTTTTTTACATAAACTCTGTTGTAAGCAGACCAACGATTACTTAAAAAATTAAACAATCAACAAATTTTCTGAGATAATCGCCCCTATTCTGGAATTATGATTCTTTGCTTACAAGTAAATGAAATAAATTCTGTATATTTCAAAGAAATGTAATAACAAGCACTTTAAGAAAAAAATATTTTAGCTCTATCTGACAAACAGCTTCTGAAAATTCTCACGAAGTGACCTACGTGGGTTTTCCATTTTTTCCAAAATAACTAGACAAGCTACCGTAAATATTGAAACAACATATGATCGACAGTGAATATGGACTGATACACTGATATTTTCAATTCGGAAATATCTAAACTTCACACACAATGCTCAATCAACAACACGCTGATTTCGTTTCCTTGCTCCCCTGTAAAATTTACTAAGCGTTGGTTAGGACACTTTGTGAGAAAGCTGACGATATGCAGCATTTTCAGCACCATGTTTGTCCCAAATAATTCTAAAAATCATAACATCATTCGCAAGTATATAGAGATATATAAGAGAATTTCACTGCGTGTTAAACTTACTACATCGTTAATAGATAAAGGTTGTAAACGTTATGGTAGTCATTATTGAAATGGGTAATAAGGGGGGTCAAAACAAGTCAAAAAGTTCATATGACCCATGGTCCAAAAGTCAATAGATTTTTGTCTAAACGGCTGTATAACTTACAGCTTTAAGTGAGTAAGTAAGTAAATTTCATTAAATTAAATATTTAAAACACACATGACAACAGCGCGTCGGTTTTTCATCACTCTTATCGAACCGGCAATCGATCGCAAACGGTAACAGTGGTTAGTATGTTGTTTTGTTTCTGTTCGCGTACGTCGACGTGTTTATTTTTACAATGTTCTCGAATCAAGAGTTCGCCAACATGTTGTTAGTTTTCGGTGAAGCTCGTCAGAATTCAAATCTTGCAGCTCAAATATATCGCGACAGATTTCGCCAACGGGTTCACAACAGAAGGACATTTGTGCAAGTGTACCAAAGACTTCGAGATACAGTAAGTGTCCAGGCCACTAATATTCACACTCGTGAAAGACAGGTTACTGTAGAGCAGGAAATCAATGCAGATATCAGCACTCGGGAATATGGCCGCCGCGTTGGACTATCGCATACCATAGTCCATAGAATCCTACGGGAAAATTTGCTTTATCCCTACCATGTACAACAAGTGCAGGCCTTGTTACCAGAAGACTATCATCGCAGACTAACGTTCTGCACAAAAACATTGAAAATCCTTATTTTTTTAAAAACATTCTAGCGACGGACGAATGTACTTTTACGCAAGTCGGGATATTAAATTTCCAAAATACTCACACGTGGGCCCAAGAAAATCCTCCTACCGTTGGTGAAGGTCATTCCCAACAACGTTTTAAAATAAATATTTGGGTGGGTATTCTTGACGATCAGGTATTTGGCCCTTTCGAGTTACCCCCAAAGTTGTCAGGAGAAGGACACCTTAGCTTTCTAGCCAATAACCTACCAGAACTTTTGGAGCAGACCTTAGACAACATGCCATTACAACGGAGACAGAATTTGTGGTTTCTTCATGACGGGGCACCACCACACATTTTTAGAGGCGTCATTCAGTATTTGAATGAACATTATCCAAATCGCTGGATTGGTCGAAATGCTCCTGATCTTCGAAAATGGCCAGCAAGATCTCCTGACCTCAATCCGATGGATTTCTGGTATTGGGGAGAACTTAAAGTGATGGTTTATGGGGCAGGTCCAATAACAACTGAAGCACAACTTCGCGAAAAAATGTTTAATGCGGCTGAAATAATAAATGGACAACTTCGAGGACCTAGAGTAAGAAGAAACTGGGTTCGTCGTAATGAAGCTTGTGTGGAAAGTGGAGGACGACATTTTGAACACCTTTAAATACAAAAAAGAGCAGTGTAAGTTTTAAAAAGAAAAACAATGTATGTATCAAAATTGTGTTCCCTATTTATAAGTAGATTTTTTTAATACGTTCAATAAACTTTCACACACCAGGTGAAGCGCTGAGACAGTTAGTGGTAAGTCCGTTTTTTAAATTGTTTGCATTTTACCAGTACATTATCAAATAATGAAATAATACCAAAGAGCCAAAAATAACAAACTCCATCTTTATTTACACTGCGTTCTGTCGTAATTTGCGTCTGGCATTGCGGCGTTGTCAGATTTTATTTTACTTTAAAGTCGCTATTTAAATAATGACTATCATAACGTTTACACCCTGTAGTATAATTTGTACTACGAGATGTACACCCATCATATCTTCCCACCTGAGATCTACCAGATCAGTTACTAGTTATCCAGTTCAAGAGCTGACACAGTGTAAAGTACTCTAAAACTGGTTTAAGTGTCAGTGACAGTTTGTATTGTTTCCTGGAGCACTCAAATTATAGGACTTACGAGGTTTTTGCACTGATCGATTTAATTATTTTCGTAAGAAAATGTATTACTTGTTCTAGGGTGCTTACCAGTTTCTTTGGTCAACTGCATGGTGATGGTATTAATATCATCTATCGTCATTGTTGCAACATCCTCAATGGTATTGATATCGTCTAGCAGTATCTCGAGTGTATCTTTCAATTCGTCAGATTTGTTCTTGAGCTGTTCGCTATTTTCCAACGAGTAGTTCGACTAAAACGCAAGCAAACAAATTAGATGAGTTAAAAAATAAGAAAAAATAAGTCATACCTTTCTGTTAAGGTTTTTGGTGTCCTGTTCCAAGCTTTCGAGTTCTTGTATCGTCTCGTCCAAACTAATTTGTTTAGGGTCGATATCTTTCAACTTTGATGTCAGGTTCTCTAGTTGGTCCCTCATGTTAGCCAATCTTCTTCTCGTGAAGAACCCAGATTGTGTAGACTGCAAAATAGGCATTCATTCATAAATATAGAAAATACAGGGTGTTTCAGTTTATTGTTGCATAACTTTAAGATTCGATAGAACTTTAAAAATTAATGCACGAAGTCTATATAAACATGGGTCGAAAAATGCGTGGCTTCCGAAATACAGGGTGTTTAAATTTACTTTCTAAAATAGTTTTTTTTAAATATTTCGAACAATATTTGATATATAATTGTGAAAATTGGTATACAAGGCTTTTTTGGTACGACAAAACGAACCATGGGCATAGTTTTACTGTAAAATGACCGAAAATTTTTTCTTAGTGCAATTGTTTGCTTTTTGAATAACAAAAAATGATTGTTCGCACTTTTCAACATAAAAAAGGTCTCTTGTGAATTTTCGTTATAGTTAGCCGTTTATGAGATATTTCGATTTTTAAGGTTCGATGCATTTTTAATTATTTATGATAAAATAACGTTAAAAAGTCAGTATCTCGATAATTTTTAGAAGTAGGCTGTGCCTGCAAATATTTTTGAAATTGAAAGCAGAATAAGGTTAAACGTCAATTAGTTGACAGTTAGTTTTGTTGTCTGTTGAAACCTGAAACGTTTTTTTGCAATTGTGAATGCACGAAATTTAGTTTCTTTTACCTGTTTTTTTTGTGTTTTATAAAAATGCCATTTTTATTCTCCAATCAAGACTTAGCGGATATTCATTTTGTGTATGGCTTTGTAAATGGAGATGCAGCAGAAGCAGCCAGAGAATACGCACGAAGATTTCCAAACAGACGACATCCAACTCGCTCAGTATTTGTAAGAGTGCATCGCCAGATGATTGAAAATGGTTTTGGAAATCTCCAAAGGGATCAAAACATAAATGTTCGTCAGCGCAGATTTACCTGTATGATTCTGCGTGAGTTTGATAGAGATCCGACTACAAGTGTTAGGAGAGTTTCTGGTGCCTTGGTAATTTCAGCAAGCCATGTTCACCGTGTTCTTAGAAATGACCATAGACGTCTTTAACATTTGCAACCTGTGCAAGGACTACAGCCACGGGACGGAGAACGAAGAATCACATTTTGTCAGAGGATTCTTGATAGCACTGATAATAATAGGGAGTTTTTAACTAACGTTTTATGAGCCGATGAGTCATGCTTCACTAGACGTGGAGTGGTAAATTTTCATAATCAACATATTTGTTCGCATGAAAATCCACATGCAGTTCGGGAAAGAAATTTTCAGCATGAATTTAGTGTGAACGTGTGGATTGGTATCTACCGTAATCGACTATTTGGACCCTACCTTTTGCCTGCAAGGTTAAATGCTGCGACCTTCTTGGAATTTTTTAAGGCTGAACATGCAAATATGTGGGATGATGTTATGTTAGATTTAAGAAGATTGGCCTGGTTCCAGCTTGATGGTTATCCAGCTCATTATTCGAGAATAGTTAGAAACTGGCTGGACGAAAATTATCCAGAAAGATGGATCGGCCGTGGAGGACCAGTCGCCTGGCCTCCACGATCCCCTGACCTAAATCCATTAGATTTCTTTGTGTGGGGATTTCTAAAAGAAAAAGTGTACCAGACTACCGTAACCACAAGAGATATGTGATGAAATAAGGCCTTATTAGAATAATGCTATACCTACCACGTTAGATCATTCGTAGATGTGAATTGTGTATTGAACAATTGGGTTTACATTTCGAGCAACTACTTTAGATTTTGTATGTTTGTCCTAACTATCCAATAGCATTTTAGTTGTAAATAATTAATTTAATTTGTTAAAAATAATATTGGAAAATTAAACAAATTAATATTCTGTTTTTTTTTGTGTTTATTTGGAGTTAGGAATTATTGCTGTGTTTAAAAACATAATCTAAACGATCATCTTAATTACTTGTAATGCCCAAATCGAAAATGTAAAAAAATATTATTTTCCCATAAATAATTAAAAATGCATCGACCCTTGAAAATCGAAATATCTCAAAAACGGCGAACTATAACGAAAATTCACAAGAGAGCTTTTTTATGTTGAAAAGTACGAAGAATCAGTTTTTTTATTCAATAAGCAAAAATTGCACTGAGAAAAATTTTTAATACACTACAGGTACAGTAGAGAGCGCCCTCTAGCGGTTACAGCAAAAATATGCCCATCGTTCCTTTTGTCGTACCAAAAAACCCTTGTATACCAATTTTCACTATTGTATATCAAATATTGTTCGAAATATTTGAAAAAAAAAACTATTTTAGAAAGAAAATTTAAACACCCTGTATTTCGGAAGCCACGCATTTTTCGACCCATGTTTATAGAGACTTTATGCATTAATTTTAAAAGTTCTATCGAATCTTAAAGTTATACAATAAACTGAAACACCCTGTATAGCTGTTTTGAACTATCTAGAGGGATTATAAGCTACAAAAGAAGTTTTATCACTAACAGCAAACACTTAAATGAAAATGCAGTCACAGTTAAGGTAAATGGTGAAATAATTGAAAAAGTTGAATCAATTAAATGTTTGGTATACAGTGTGTCCCAGATTCGCTTCTTTACACAGGGATCTTGGCTCCTGTTATACCTTCATCAAATGTTAAATGGTGCTTTCGATAGCCGGCTTCAGATTGACGATCGGTCAATTCGTTTTCAAAATATCAGCGAAAAACAGAAAATAGCGGAAATTGTTTTTTGCCAGTAATTCCAAAACGGTTAATTTGACAGCTGTCAAAATGTGACATTATTCGGACATTTTAAAAAAATAAGATTTCAGAATTTTCATTTTTCTTATATTGGATTATTTGATTTTTGAAAAGAGTGTTAAATTTCTAGTATAGTGATGTCTTACAAGTGCAATAAAATATCATCACACGTAATATTATGTATTAGTTTTTCTCTAAGAAGGCCATGGTTTATTTGTCAGAAACATTAATGAGTAAGGCATGAGAAAACATCGCTCTTAGGATTGCATCTATTTATCTCTGTCGAATCTTTTCAATTTTTGAATCGGGTACAAAAATGAGTTTTACGCGTTATGTTGGCACACAAATATTAATTATTCAGGTGTGAAATGTTGTCAAATTGTTGTGAAGTATTCTTAAAGTATCGATGTTTTTATGATCAAGCAGATAAGAAGCCAAAGGCTGAATACAGAAGCCATTAATCATATGCGGATTGTTTGACAGACGTTATCTCCACAACAAAGTAGACAGAGATTAAATTGTGTGAACATAACCACTGCGAAAAAATGGCGTCACGTAGATAATATTCGAATTTCGGTTCACACTTTTCCTGTTGCCTAAAGATATCTGCATCACACAAGTCCATGTTTCTCATTTAAATCGGTTTGTCAGTTTGTGTCTGTTTCATTGAAAAACGTCATAAGTACTGAGTCGATCTACTTGACGGAAATATTCAGTGAACCATCGTAGACGGAAAATTAAAGCTTACGCAGTACAAATTGACAGAGATAAAAAAAATTGGGATTTAATCGAAAACAATCAATTTTTTTTCCAAAAAAAATCGAGTTTTTGCAACACTAAATAGGTGCAAAAGATTTCTACCTTGAAAGGAAAATCGACGAGTTCGAGCGAATTTTTATCAGTGCTCTTATTGGCAGAAAGAATTAGTCACACAGAAATACCAATACGATTATTATTTGCAAAATATAGATGCAAAACGGAAATATATGAGAAACATATTAATTCCACCAATACAAATCGAAGAGTTTATTTCTGCACACTTCTCTCGCAAAATAGAAAAAACTCGTTGGAACGCTCTTATCAGTCCCACAAAAACTGTTTGACGCTGGTTGGTCAACCAATACCATTTTACGATTATCGTCTGCACAATATTCTATGGACACTCTGCTAGGTGTATGGCTTGTAGGCGGATCTTTCGTGGTTTTTTATCTCTCACAGGATATTATTGGTTATTTAGAATTACCTTTGCTTACTGTCATGTAGGAAACGTTGGGTTAGGATTTTCAAAATACTCTGACAGTGGAATTTTGGTACTTGTCGCGACAGTTGATTATCAACTGGTAGAGGAAGTGCAACATATTTGGAATACTGCAGGTAACTTGGAATACCTACTTAGTTATCAAAATCAATGTAAACGCTATCTGTATTTTTTTGCCGTGATTATAATGTCGTAAATCACACGAAACGTACTAAAAACAGGACGCCACATTGACATTTCCTGCTACCAGTCACACGGTAACGAGACGTCTACTTTGAAAACTTTTTCGGTAACAATGCAATCATTGATAATCATTTACTGTGATAGTAAAATCTTCATTGCAATTATTAGCACCTCTACGTGTCCTTGTTAGTTTAAAATTCTATTTTCATTTTGTGAACATATTTAGAATTGAAGATTTGACAAGGAATTTTAAGTCAGGATGTTACGTTGTCAATTTGGAACAGGTACAGTGCTTATTGTGCGAATTCCGGGTACATGCTGCTTGTAATGGTTATGAATCCATATCTGTGATTATTGTAAGAACAGTAACTAAAACCACTGAACTATAACTTCAAGCTAAACACTGATTTGTGATTATAATGACTGATTTCTTAATAATTAATAATATTATAAGCTACTTTGTTAAACAGATTAAGTACCAAAGACTGTAAAACGGTTACAAGGTTGAGAAATTTATTAGTTTCTCAGAAAAGGAGTAAACAATAAATTGTCAAAAAAGGTTATTATAATTTGGAATAGTATCTATATACGAGCCCCTTCCCACTTAAGTTGGCCCACGTCAAGATTTGCACCAAAATATGCCTTTATAAACTAAACATGAAACTATTTACTTCTAAAACAATTTATTTTCTCAAAAACATTTTAGATACACATTTGAAATCACTTAGACCTATAACTAATAGAACATCTGAACAAATAAACAATGTGCGAATAAATGCGCGAAGTTAACAAAGCAACATTTGAAAGATTACCATTGGGTAACATCACCTTTATTTTTTATTACGGCAGAAATTCTTTGGGGCATAATGTTAACCAAGTTTTGGCAAAAATTTGATGTAAAACAATCCCATATTTTTTGAAGCTTTTGTCTCAGTTCGGTGATTGTACGAGCAGGATGTTGTCGTAGAACCTTTTTCATCTCGTGCCACAAAGTTTCAATAGATGACAGATCTGGACTGCTAGAAACCCATTTCAAAAGTTGTACATTATTTTCTTCCATCCATTTTATAGCCTTTTTTGAGGTAACATTGCCAAATATTTGTTTGTATCCAGATTTCCATCAATAAATGAAGTTTTCCTACTCCTTTTGATGACATACTGCCCCAGACCATAATGGATGCTGGAAATTTCACTTTTCTCTTCAGACAGTCAAAATATTTAGAATGCTTCATTTTTTTGCGAATAACTCTACTGCGACTGTCAGCAACACAAACTTGGAATCGGGCCTCATCACTCCATTGTATTGCACACCATTGTTGAGGTGTCCATTGTCTATGTTCTTTAGCCCATCTAAGCCGATTTTTCTTTTGCAGTGGAGTTAATAGTGGCTTTTCTTTGGCCTATAAACAAGTTGTGCAACTTTAGGGTTGTTACTTCACTTTCTTTTAATAAGAAAACTTACCTTGCAAGTGATAAATCCCAGTTTGTGGGCCTCTCTATGAGTTGTGGACCTCGAAATTCTCCTTCCAACAGCGTCACTCCACAGACCACTTAATTGTAAATAATTGGCACGCCTATTTTTTACGATTATTCTTGTTAATGCTCTTCGGTCGGCATTTGTGATATTACTTTTTTTCACATATCGTGGCTTAATATTAACTGAACCAGTTACGTTATATCTTCTAACAATATTTTTCACACTGTACCGCGATAAGTCTAACAAAGTTGCAATTTCTGAGTTTGATTTCCCAGAATTAAAAAATTTAATTATCAGTAACCGAATTTTCTCATTAATGACCTTTCCTCTACCAATTTTGAAAACCTTAACTACCCAAAACTATTTTAAACGAATTCTGACAGCTGTGATTAATAAAAACAATTGTCATGGCTTTTATTTTTCACAGCCACCTATGCGTTATAGACTTATTTTGCATTGAAATGAAAATATGTTGATATGCTGTAATTGCAACATTTTTATGCTGCAAATTTGATTAGGGAGTGATAAAGTTGGTGTTTTCTACTATATATTATCAAAATATTCATTGTTAATATTTTAAACCTATAACACCCTGCTACATTTTTATTATTTGTGTTTGATAAGAAAAAAACTCAGATTTGAATAGTTGGGCCAACTGAAGTGGGAAGGGGCTCGTAGATCTAGTGAATAATGCTCTTTTATATTGGTGCTGGAAACCATGATTCTGGTAGTATCAGTATGAAGGTTTTCCATTTTTTTTATTTTATGTACTGAAGTAATGAATATTTATATAAATTATTAACGTTCAAGCATCGCCATATTTAATAATGTATGTAAGGTATGAGCATATGTGGTTAAATTATACATAAGGCAACAGCAGTAATTTTTGACTTTCAAAGCATTTGGCAGAGTTTTGATCTAGAAAAATAATTGCAACAACCTTTTAAAATTCACTAAGCAACGCTAACTTCCATTTTGGCACAATTTAAAGCAATGCCTAAACACGTGTTCTTGCGACGTCCACTGTTTTGTTCCTGAGATAATTCCTATAACATTTACACGGGCTCGTATGAGAAATCTGATATGTTCTCGTATTATTTAAATTTTCGCAAGAATAGATTTACAGAAATGTTTAAAAAACGAATATATGAAACTTCAAGGATATTTAAATATTACCTTGAAATTAAAAGCAGATTTACGTCTACCATATTGTTTGTGAAAAACTTGGCGCGAAAGTTTATAAACCGATGCCTTCTATTGTAACTGTGTGTTCCCGATATTATTTCACAAGGATAAAATTGTAGAAGTGTTTAAAAAATTAACTGTATGGAATGTAGGTAGGATTAAAATGTTACTCTAAAATTGAAACGAAAATCATCTATTTAGTCATCTATTGCTAGATCATTTTGAAACGGGTGGCGTTTGGTGCGAGATCTCCTTATTTTTGAATCATACATATTTTCCTCCAGTACTTACATCGAACTCAAATATAACTGGATCAATCATAGCAGCCAATTCGTCGGTATCATTCAACAGCGCGTGATGACAGCTGTCACATGCATGGCAGCCTACTTCAGGTACAAACGCCCATCTGTATGGACACTGGTCGCATTTCTCTCCTACCACTCCCTGAAGACATTCACACTGGCCTGTTTGAGCATTGCAGCCGAATCCTAGAGAGTACTCGCTCTTGCACCCACAGGCTAGAAAAAAATGAAACATACACTAAAGAAAATAGAAGCTACAGTTCGAAAAGGATCTATTCTCAAGCTACTTTTACATGCTTAAGGCTTCTTTGGGATTCTCGAACGCCCTAACTAATCAACCCCCCTCCGTGGGTTCCAGTAACGTATGCACGGAGTCCAATACAGTGGACCCCCGATAATCCGGCCCCTGTCTAATCCGGCGCCCCCTGTAATCCGACATGTCTTTGAATGTGTATTACATACATACGTATTTGACAATCTTCGCTAATGTAGATCACGCAGGTTTGAAAAGGTTACAACTTGTACGCGCCACCGCTATCGTGCTCGACGCGTAAGCATTGTTTTACTTAGTTTGAATTTGACTACTGGTGCTAGCGGTACGGCCTAGCGTGCGTTCATTGTTTACTATTTATTAATTATGTATTAAGTATAGTACCTAGTAATGCCATCACAAACTCAGAAGCGAAAGCACAAAACATTGACAATTAAAGAAAAATGTGATATTTTAGACCGCTTAAATCGCAATGAAACTTTCAGTAGTTTAGAAAGTGAATACCGTGTAGGCCGATCTACAATTTATGACATTAAAAAAAACCACGAGAAGATCAAGAAGTTCGTGTCAACGACTGACTGCGAGCCAGGCAAGAGACAGACACTCGAGAAAGCTGAACATCCAGAAGTGGAAGAAGCTTTGTACATGTGGTTTCTTCAGGAAAGAAATAGGCATGCACCAATTTCAGGACCCATGTTGGCCATGAAAGCTAAGTTTTCTTATAAGGAAATAACAAAAAAAGATGATTTTGTGACCAGCAAAGGATGGCTAGCACGTTTTAAAAGTCGGCAAGGCATACGTTTAATTAAGATTTTTGTAAAAGGTGAACGATTTAAATCTTGACCCGTCACAAGTGCACAATGCAGACGAATCAGGGCTTTTTGGGCGTGTGATGCCTAACAAAACTTTGGTTTCTTGTAACAAAAAATCCGTACCTGGACGAAAAGTAAGTAAAGAGCATGTAACCATACTACCATGTGCTAACGCTGCGGGCACACACGCGCTTAAGATGGGAAATCTAATAAACCACGGGCATTCAAAAACATTGATATACCTGTATACTATTACGGACAAAAAAGTGCATGGATGACAAAAGACCTTTTCAAAAAGTGGTTTGATAAATGCTTCGTACCTGAAGTTAGGAAATGGTTAAAAGATCATAATTTTCCTCAAAAAGCGTTGTTGCTTCTTGATAACGCTCCTGGTCATCCGTCTGAAGAAGAACTAACAACTGAGGATAAATGCATCTCTGCGATGTTTCTTCCGCCAAATTGCACTACACTGATTCAACCAATGGACCAGAATATTATTCAGTTTGTCAAGCAAGACTATAAGAAAAACATACTTCTGAGAGCCGTATCAAAAGACCAACCAATAGAAAAAACTTTAAAAGAATTTAATATGAAAGACTTGGTTTTTGCTCTTTGTCAGTCGTAGAATGCGTTACCGTCATGAATTATTAAATCGTCTTGGTAAAAGTTTTGGCCAGATATAGTCACCACTCCTAGCAACGTTCCACAAATCAGTGCTACTTCGGAAGTTATAGAACAAGTCGCTACTGAAACACAGATAAGTCCGGAAGATTTGGAAATCTGGTGCCGCGGAAATGGATAAAGAGGAAAATGTTTTTCATGAAATGTCTGATGAAGAGATTATAAAAGAGGTTTCTAATTATACAACAAACAATCAGGAAAATAACGACGACTTGATTGCAACTGCTCCACAAGACGCAATTAACGCCTTGGAGCTAGGTTTACAAAGATGTTAAGAGAATGGTACATCCTACAACGAATTTTTACTTTTGAGAAGACTGAGGGACAAAGCTCTGATCTCGCGTTATAACAACCTTAAACAAAAAAAAAATTGATGAATATTTCCAAGCTTCATAATTTGATAAATTCATTAATGATTTTGATTAATAATTCTTGATTATTTTGGTACATATGTATGTGCATTTATGCTTAATTTATAATAAAACGTAAGCTCTCTATTGTTATTTAATTTACTAAATTCGACGTACATAAACTATGTATGATTTGTACTTCAAAGTACATACCTGTACATATACATAACATATATAATCTTACCATTGGATATGTAATTTGTCGGATTACAAGGTACTCTTTTGTAAAAAATTCCGGACTATAGGGGGTCTTAGGCAGTGCTCTATAATCCGACAAATTCGATAGTCCGACACTGCCCTGCATAATGTTTGTCGGATTACCGGAGGTCCACTGTATAAGGATCCTATGAGTGGGAGATACAGCTAAGGTTAAATTAGGAAAAAGCTGCTTTCTTTCGGGCGTATTTGCATGCCATTGAGAAACTTCATGGCTTACTGAGGTATTTGGGAAAACTAAAATTTGGTCAAACCGTTTTTATTTTTTTCTGGCTTTATTTTAAGAAATATAAAAAAACTGATGAAAGTTTTTCGTTTGCAGTTTTTAGGCACTCCATGATGGTGTTTTTAAATTTTGTATCCGACGTTTCGTTTTTGAGAAAACACCGCCAGCTTTATTTCTTATATGGTCCGAAAAAAAGTACACCCTGCATCTGATAGCATCTTTTTCTGCAAATTCAACGATGTATCACATGATATATTTATAGTTATAAAGAAAAATGTGTTTTTTTATTTTATTTAAGTAGGCATTGCAAACAAATGCTTGATGCAAGTTTATGTGATTACTGACAGATGCACATTACATAAAGATATGGTGGGGTAAAATTTTTAACATTATTGTTATTTTATTCACAAAAATTGTTCAAATAGGTTGCCATTATTTTCTAAACATAATTATGATCTTCTAGAAGTAGTACTAAAAACAGCATGTACTTTTTCTGGTGTAATCATACTCAACCCTTATCCGCCGTAGTGCGCTCACTGAGACCGCAGCACATATTTATTTCTACAGGGTGCGGCAGAGAGGACGGACGTTTTTGGGATGGGTAGTACTCTCCACCTCCGTCTACGAGAGAGGTGTATGATTGTTTCGTCCGAAATAATGAGTCAGTCATCGTCGTACAGCGTGAGTATCGTCGCCACTTCAACATTCATCGGAATAGAGCTATTCCCTCTCGAAACACCATCCTTCGTTGGGTTGTTTCACTTCGCAGGCATGGTGAACTGATCAACAGAAGACCAAGAGGAGCGCCGCGATCACTTCGAACTCCTGAAAATGTTGAACGCGTTCGATAGGTCTTTCTTCGCAGTCCGACTCGATCTGCCCGGAAACATGCTGCTGCACTTCGCCTTAGTGATCGTTCGGTAAGGCGAATTTTGCATATGAATCTCCGCTTTCACCACTACAAATTGGCCATTGTGAAACAGTTACAACCCGGAGATTATGCACAACGAATGAACTTCGCACGTGTGATGGAAGCACTGATCGATCAAAATGAGAACCTCATTTTGTTTATGAGTGACGAAGCCCACGTTCACCTAATCAGCGTGGTTAACCAGCAGAATTGTCGTTATTGGGCTAATGAAAATCCGCAACAGTTACACGAAAGGCCGCTGCGCAGCCCAAAAGTAACGGTTTGGTGCGCTGTATCGCAGACTTGCATCATTCGCCCTTACTTCTTCGAAGACGGTAATGGTCGTGATGTTACCGTGAACTGAGAGCGCTACGTCGACATGATCACCAACTTCTTTCTCCCTGAATTACGACGGCGACGTGTTGCAATCCGACGTGTGTGGTTCCAGCAGGATGGGGCGACCGCACACACAGCCCGAGCATCCACGGACGGTATTCGCCCTCTCTTCCCTGGTCGCCTTATTTCCAGGTTGGCGATGTTCATGCGCCTCTTCGGTCCCCAGATTTATCCATATGCGATTTTTTCTTATGGAGACACCTCAAGGCTAGAGTATATGCGAACAAGCCCCGAACTCTGGACGAATTGAAGGGCGAAATTCGCGTGGAAGTCGCCCAAGTTGAGAGAGCGATGTTTTAGAGAGTCTACGCGAACTTCCAAGAACGCCTCCAGCACTGCATCAACGATTTCGGCCAGATGTGATTTTTCACACTTGAGTGTCTCAAATGCTAATTCCTTGTGAACCTGATTCCATCAATAAATTTGTTTTCGAGTAAAAATTAACTATTTTATGATTTTTTTAAAACCGTCCATCCTCTCTGCCACACCCTGTATATATATTACCCCCACTTCAATATAATCAGGCAATATCCTTGCTACCTTCAAGTGACCACGTGGTCAGTTTGTCGCTAAAAGTTGAAACTGGCACTTTTATCGGTTAACAATAGAAAAACGACAAAAGTTACAGAGCGGTCACAGTGAGCGGTCTGCGGTGTCTATGTTACTATAGTCAACGCCAAACAAAGTGGCGTGCACGTCATCAAGGTGGGTGTGTTGAAAAATTTACATTGTTGCCAAACTTTTTGTAAAATAATAAAATTTATTATTTACATATCTAGGTTTATAAGCAATATTAACCTCAAATGAGAACAAAAATAATAGTATAATAAAATTATAGATCTGTACTTGCATAATCATTAAGTATGACAATTATTGATCAGATGACACTATGAAACTACCATATTTAATTGATAGCTTAAAGGTACTGAATAAAAATCCAAATGGGGTCCTCCAAATTTTATGCATGGTATTTATTTTACAGAATTCATACAGAAAAATGCATTCTAAAATTAGGTAAGCTACTGGTGTAAGCTTTTTCTGTACAATAAAGTTAGTCGGAGTTTCTTTCTTCAGCGCTGTCTGAATCTGAATCTTCATCACTCTCAAAGTTGATTATTAAAGGTTCGATGTCTGGTCGATCAAAAATTCGTTCTCTTTCATACCATTTAAAAATTTCTTGCTCAGTATGTCGAACACTATTTTTCCACATGTCTGGGGTAACCGTTTGTAGAGCCTCGTTCCACATATCCAAACAGTCTTTTTCACTGTTACCATCTCTACCAATATGTCTGTTATAGTAACCTTTTGCTATG